AGAGGACTTTCATTGTTTATGGAATTAGAACTTGTGCTACTTATATTCATATTCTGAGATGTTACAAATAAGTTATTCTGGCCACAAATGACCTCATGTTACTTACTTACTTACATAAGACTGTTACTCCCAATGGAGCATAGGCCGCCAACCAGCATTCTCAAACCCACTCTGTCCTGGGACTTCCTTTCTAGTTCTATCCAATTTTTGTTCATTCTTCTCATGTCTATCTCCATTTCTCGGCATAATGTGTTCTTTGGTCTTTCTCTTCTCCTTTGGCCTTCAGGATTCCATCTGAGGGCTTGTCTTGTGACGCAGTTGGGTGATTTCCTCTATGTGCGTCCTATCCACTTCCAGCGTTTTAAGGAGCAGTTCAGCTGGCCTTTAGCTACTGCACAACTACCCACTTTTCCCAGACAGTCTGAATAGAACATTGAAGTAGGCCCCCCAACCCTACCTGAAGTTTTAAAGGCTATAACTAACCTGGAATGAGGAAGAGTAGCTGGTCCAGATGGATTGACTCCAGAGGTCTTTAAATATGATGGTCCGATTTTAGCGACTAGGTTGACTAATATTTTGGCTAAAATTTGGGAGTTGGACATAATCCCATCTAACTGGCCACAATCACTTATTGTTCCAATATATAAGAAGGGGCCAAAATCATCCTGTGATAACCATAGAGGAATTAGTCTGATTAACATAGCGCTAAAAATTCAAAGATTAATGGCTTGAATTTCCTATTTTTTGTTGGTCTAATATTTAAAACGGTAGGATACAAAATTAAAAATATGACTTATCTTTAAACATGACTTTTGCCCCCAAATGCCCTGGTACGGCCGAGAGTGAGGAGAGTTAGCTGTCCCTCTCGAAATACTCACACATAGCCACGCGTATATAGCCTCTGTCAGAGAAGTCCTACTCACTGCCTTCTCGTAGCGGGGGTGTTGTTTAGAAAATTAAGAGGACGAAAATCCGCTGTCCTGCGCTTTTAACCGGGTTGGTAAACACGAAAAGTCCACCCAAGGGAGTTGGAAAACCGTGATTCCAAACCAATGGTTCACATGTCTTTTAATCCAGTTGTATTTTCTGTAATACTGTGTAGAAATGATTCTCTCTAATAAGTCAACTAACTTCTTTCTCTTTATCATACATCTATTTTCTTCTCCGATTTGAACATAAACATGGAATCAAATTACATGATATACTCTGTATAATTGATTTACCAGAGCATAGCATTCCAGATTTAATCACCATAGCAACTTTTTCTTTTCTCTACCTTATCTGAATTTAAGAGTTAATTTCACACTTTAAACTACCAATAAATGGTATTAATTGTCTAAGATTAGTATATTGATGAAATCGATACAAAATCAACAATCTCCGCGAAATCCGTTCACTTATAATGATTTTATACTCACTATTAACTAATTTCAAAATGACATTCTAGGAGTTCTAATGAAAGGTCGTGACTATTGGAGCTTAACTATATAGGGTGTAAGATAATCATCTATCATACACAATTGAATATGGTTGCATGATACCACGAATTGGTTTAAGTTCAACATATGTATTATTGAATCATGACTTAATGGTCTAAAGATTTGAATGTTATAGCCTCGATGCTCGATTGGATCATAGATGCTCAATCCTTAGGAGTTCCATACTGAGATGAAAAAGCTGTCCAGCACTTTCTGGTTTTCAATGGTTGTCTAAATAAGATCACTTCATAATGTTAACTTTAAGAAATAGTGGTATACTTAGATAATATTAAGCTGAGATGACATAGTAAATCAATAATTAAACCTGAAAGGAAAACCATCTAAAGAAAGCCGAATTTTGTGAATTAAGTCATACTGTCCGTTTTTTTGGGGGGGGGAATATATGGTGTTATTTTACATTGATTTCTTCTTTTAGAACAAACATAGGAATTCTTGAATGATGAAGCTTCTTTGAAGATCTTCGTACGTACGTACATCAGTTCGAGTTGCCATACCACATTAGCACAGAAATCCAGTTGTTGTTTCAAATCCCATAATGGTAGAAGTAGTAAAAGTATAAACAGTGATCCGAAAGATTAGGGTTTTAAGATGTTATTCGAGGAGTATAATCCAGTGAAATAAATTTGAATAGAGAAAAAAAAGGAACATGAAGAATTTAGAAGATTAGAATTTGGTAGAACACAAAGATTGGATGCAACTTCGTCGTTGCAAACGATTTTGAGCCATGTCATTTAAGATCTCTAACCATCAGTTGTTATCATCATTAAGAAGAATCAATGACTTCAATTCATGTATTTAATGAACAGACTTTGTAAATATTAGTTTTTTCATTCTACCCAGCTAGTTAACTATCTACACAGCAGGACGTATTTTTACTAATCGTGATCCATTATGTCAATCAGTTTGCATCGTCTAAACAAGATTCTTTTAAAATCAATTATGTGCTTTTCTTCTTTATCCTAATATAAAATAGTTTTATGTATAAACAATATAATATTATAGATCAGAAGGAGTTTTGTGGAGATTTTAGTATGTTCATAGTTGAAATCATGAGTCGGTTGAAGTTAGACCACCATGGAAAACCTGGAAGCACTGGACGGTCGTTTCGTTCTATTGTGGGACTCCTTAGCAGTGTTCATCCATGATCTCGCCTCGTGTGACTCGAATCTAGGACCTATCAATCTCGTGCCAGACCACTGAACTTGCCGGTATCCAATGGTGTTAATGTCTAACTTCAACCAATCCACAAAATTGAGCAACCGTTCAACAATTGTCTTCAGTGAGTTGATATCTCTACAACAGACTTGGTTGAACTCCACTGGTCACTGCATCCCACTCAAGGAAATATCTCTTGAAGTCAGTCACTAGTGAGCATATGTTTATAGATCAGAAGGGGTTTTGTGGAGATTTTAGTATTTTCATAGTTGAAATCATGAGTCGATTGAAGCTATCGGTTAAGTGCTCTGGCGCGAGACTGGTAGGTCCTGGGTTCGAATCTCACGAGTGCGGGATCGTGGATGCGCACTGTTGGGGAGTCCCATAATAGGACGAGTTAACCGTCAAGCAGTGCTCCCAGGTTTTCCATGGTGGTCTAGCTTCAATCGACTCGTGATTTCAACTATGAAAAGATAATATTAGTATGAGTATGTAATTTTCCATTGTGAATATTCAACTGAACAGTCTATGTTGTTGTACATACGTCTCGAATGGTTAGCCTCTACATATTCTTCAGTTCAGACTTATAGAATATTTGGTATATGATTATCAGAGGATTTTAGTACACGTGTTTCATCCCATTTAAGGCTCGTCAGCTAAATATGTCTATGTATTATGATTATGTTAACCAATTTGACAATAACGCACTTATCACTTATCTTCCTCACAAGTTATTCTATCTGGATTATCTCAGTATTAGTGTCTAAAGTTCCCTTTCAGCCTAACACCAAAATATAATAGATATCTTGTCAGGTTATATAGATTAGTGGTCACATTGCAAACTTTAACCGATCGAATTCGAATAACAGTGAAGTAGTAATTTGTAATTAGTTATTGCTCAGTAATCATTCAAGGGATGAGTATTATGTCACGTAATGCTTCAGCACTCGAACTCTAGAACCCTCTTAAGTCGCAAAATCAGAAGACAGAAGACTAATAAGTAGGAATGTTATTCTAAACAGTGTCAAATATAGTACAAACATTTCATGTATTTATAGTTTTTCGGTTGAAAGTAAATCATCGTTTCGCACAGCCAAATAGGCACATAGGGGGAGGGCCTTCCTATTCATCCAATAGGGAAGCAACAGGCCGACATTCTAGAGTGTTCCTTTAGCGGTGATTGGATGGAATGTCTTTGGCTCTTTCTGGGCTTTTTGAGTTTGTCAATGAGCAATCCTTACAAATTGCCTTAATGATTTCATAAATTTAAAACTTATACAAAATTAATAGATTTTCATGTGAGACTATAATTTATAAAAGAACCAATCATATCTAAGATAACTGACCTCAGATTTTGGCGCCAGATTCATTTATTCATTTAGATAAATAGCGTTTTGGAATTCTAGCTGATACCATGATGAAATTCCTAAATCTAATTCATCAACTGTCGACTATAATCCTTTTACTTCAAACCCTCATTTAACCCTGATAAGTAGGTGTGTAGTGAATGAGAACACGAGTGGAGACAATTGAATGCATTTAAGCACAAATTACAGGCTATCTCACTAAATTCTGATAACCATACAGTAAGCATGGTAAGCAAAGATGGATAGTGGCTAGTAGTGGAATACAGGACGCGCGTCATTTCGTCCTATTTGGGACTTGTCAACTGGATGTACCTGCATCTCAGACTTGTTGATGTTCACTCTGGGACTCGAACCCAGTAACCCTCTCCTCAAATGCCATCGCGTTATCCACTCGGCCACTGAGTCCTAATAGCCATTTGCTTGTGCGATGGGATGAAGTTGAAATTCACTTAGTATTGTTTGTTTGAATCTTCCCATTGATGTTTTTTAGGACTGTAACTGATCAGTCTCTAATTGGCATATATGCATACTGTGCCTATTGCACATATGCCAATTAGAGACTGACCAGTTACAGTCCTAAAAAAACATCAATGGGAAGATTCAAACAAACAATACTAAGTGAATTTCATACAGTAAACAGTTAATGTGCAAAATAACAGTCCATCGTCTCAATCTTAACTGTTCCTTCTGTAAATATCGGTCAGTCTTCTCTGATTTTATTATTCATGCATTTTCGTACCGATTGCGCTTCATTCATTCATTCATTCATTTCTTATCGATCTTCTGCCAAAATACATTCTATGTCTGATCATCAACATATACTACTTATATGGATCTAAGTAGACCATTCTCAAGGTCACTCTAGTACCGCTCATATGTCATCCATAAATTATATCCTTACCGATTTTCAAGCTTTCCATTTTATTTTAATTAATAAAAATATTTACTTTTAATTGACTTGATTCAATTCCCTTTTTAGACTACTTCATCTGAACATTTAAATCATAATAAAGTATCTGGTACAATAACGAAATCATCGGTAACAACGTCAGTGACAAATACTACAATGACAACACAAATGAATTCTAATGTTTATGATTTACCTGAACCAGAATGGATTACACAAACATTAAAACAATATTATGAATATAGTATCACTCATAGTAAACCAAATATTCCATGTGGTTTGTTTAGTGGTGAGTTACATTCATCTACAACAACAACAACTGCAACTAATGGTGGAGGTGGCGGTACTGGTGACCTTCGCGGTTCTGGTGGAGTAACAGGAGTTTTACCATTCGATTTTGAACAATCATTATTTGATCAATTAGGCTGTGAAGAGATAAGTACAAATCTATCAGAGAATTCAATGAATTTATCTAATCAATTTACACCGAATGCATTAATGATATTTCTGTGTAGTTTAGCACATTCAACACCATATCCACGTTTATCTGAATTAGCTCATTGTGCCCAATTAACATCGTATCGTTTATTAACTAAATTAGCACATTATCAATCGGATTGTTTAGTACTTCAAGCGAATTTAGCTGAAATTAAATCAAATGCTGATCAAATGCAATGTCAATTAAATCAAATTGAATCAAATTGGTCAATTATTAATCGTGCTATGCAATATTGTGAAGCTGCTTTAGAAGTTAGTGATTGTTTAAATCAGGTAATTCATTTTAAAGAGTTACATAATTCATTGTTGATAGATGAATTAGTTTTTTATGAATTTACAAGCTAATCTGTATATGGTAGAGAGAGTCTACTCTCCCTCTTTCTCTCTCTTGAAATACCTCTATACCTTATCTGTCTTTCTTTCCATACTATATCCTTATATCCAACCTTTCTTTTATATATTACCACCACTAAATTAACTAGTTCTATGGATCCAGTGTTCATCTTGTTGTGCGAATGAGGTATGGCAAATTGGACCGATGCATATATGTGCCTGGTCCTACATTGTAGCTGACTGACTGACTGATCCATAAAAAACCAATAGCGTAGGGATCCACCGTAAAACATACAACTGTATTTTCCGAAGTTACTGTACTAATTTTTAGACTAGACCTTTGGACGGACTGACTGTATTTGTAAAAAAATCAGTCTGATCTGAATAATCTAATAATGTCCTATTTCTTGCCTGAAATGGGGAATTGACAATTCGAGATCTGATCTTATGTAGTGTTTATTTGGTGTTGACTTTTGAAGAACTCTGAAATGTACACCTAAACAAGTGTTCAATGATCTCTCATTGATTCATTGACAAAGAACTTGTTTTAGACATTGAATTCAAACTTTTGATATTCGGTAGATCCATCCAATACTTTCTTATTTTCAATTGTTGCTTAACTAAAGTCAACTTGTGTTGTGAAACTACTATTAATTTAGGGTCTTTATAGAAATTAATGAGTTTTGTTGTTTGCATTACAGATTTACATTATCAGAAGGGAGATTTGTGGAGATTTTAGTAATTTTATATAGTTGAGATTATGAGTCAATTGAAGCTAGATCACCAAGGAAAACCTGGAAGCACTGAACGTCCGTTTCGTCCTATTGTGGGACTTCTCAGCATTGCCCAGTAACCAGTTGAATTCAAACAGGTCTGTTGAGAGATATCAACTCACTGAAGACATTAGTGAATGGTTGCTTAATTTCGTGGTTTAATTGAAGTTAGATATTAATACTATTGGATGCCAGCCAGCTCAGTGGTCTAGTGGTTAAGTGCTCTGGCGCGAAACTGGTAGGTCCTGGGTTCTAATCTCGCGAGGCGAGATCGTGGATGTGCACTGCAGAGGAGTCTCACAATAGGACGAAACGGCCGTCCAGTGTTTCCAGGTTTTCCTTGGTGATCTAGCTTCAATTGACTCATGATCTCAACTATGTATGATTTACAATAGTTAAACAACCTCTAACAATCAAGCAGTTTTTATACAGCCGTTCTGTCTTTGTATGGGACTCCATGACCTAATCGGTAGGGCTTTCACGCCTTATGGTAGACGATTAACCTTCTGACCACTAACAATATGGTCGTTTACGAATCTTTACGTTTTCGAACCAATACTAAACCTAAATTCAATTAGTATTGTTTGTTTGAATCTTCCCATCGATGTGTTCGGACTGCAACTGGTCAGTCTGTAATTGGCATATATGCAAACGGTGCGTATTGCTTCAATATGGCCTTAGTTCACAAGCATGGTAAGGAAAGATGGATGTGGCTAGAAATGGAATCCAGGATGCGCGTTTCATCCTGTTTGGGACTCGTCAGCTGGATGTACCTGCATTTCAGAGTTGATGTTCACTCTGGGACTCGAGTGGATAACGCGGTGGCGTTTGAAGCGAGGGTACTGAGTTTGAGTACCAGAGTGAACATCAACTCTGAAATGCAGGTACATGCAGCTGACGAGTCCCAAATAGAATGAAACATGCGTCCTGGATTCCACCTCTAGCCACTATCCATCTCTGCTTACCAATACTAAATCTGTTTGTATTGATTACTCATTATTCTTATTACTTGTAGTTATATTCCACGGAATTAGCTGTTACTATATTCCGTCAATCACAAAATAATCAGATGTTGAAGCATCCATTCTCAACAATATCATCATCTACATCATCTTCATCATTTCATGGTCATAATAAACCGTCTCAATTGCGTCATCAACCATTGAAAAAATATGAGAATTCACAACAGATTTCTGTTACTACATCACCGTATCAACTATATTCATCAATTGGTTCCTCAGAAGAACATGATTTATTAAATAATATAACTAATACTAATAATAATAATACAACTGCTGGAGTTGGACAACAACAACAACAACAGATCTTTTCAATGAATCATTTCAATTTGCATAATTTGAAATCATTAAGGTAAGTGTTTGTGTGAATGAAGAATACTGGTGAGCGACCTATTCTCCTTCACAAGGAGTAACAGGCGTAAGTAATTAAATTTGTGTTTCTGCTCTTGGCGAAGTTATACACTACCATATGTATGAGTTAAAATAAAATCCCAACTAGCATTCATCTGAAAAATTAATCTGTCAGTCATAATAAATTTAGAAGTCAGAATTGTTATGTCTTGAACTTAGGTTTCTTAGTCTGTCGAGTAATACTTGAGCACTCGAACTCCAGAATCCTCCCAAATCACAAGTCAGAAAACAGAAGACAAGTAGAAGGAATATTATTCCAAACAGTGTCGATTATGATATAAAATTGTCAGGTATTTATAGTTTTTAGTAGAAACAAAATCATCATTATAGTTATCTAATCCGCACACAGGGAGTTATCAGCATTGTCCAATAGGAAAGCTACACGTAGTAATTCTAGAATATTCTTCCAAAAGCTGATTGGATGGAATATGTCTGGCTCCTTCTGGGCTTCTTAGAGCTTCCTCGACTTTACCTGTAGACCATCCTCACAAAAATAAATGTGCATTGGCTCAATTTGTCATACCATAAGAGCACGATAAGACGATATTATAAAGATGAATAGCGAAGAAATTGAAATAATCACAGTATCAACGATAGTGAGAAAGGTTGAACATTGAGAGTATATTTTGAAAATACAGTATGGAATAGTATGTAAGAAGGAATATCAGAACTCAATATCTAGAGTAAGATAATCAGTGAACATGTCAGGGCCAATGCGATGAATTCTGTGATATATTATCCAACTATTGATCATGATTATCGCATGAATCTCAACTAGGTAATCTAAACCTACCAACAAGGATCAGAACAACAGTAATATTTTATTTTGGCAGCCCTTAGTTTTCTTTTAACTTACTCTGACATCAGATTACATAGTCCTTGGAGGTAGGGGATCGTTTGACATATGATACAGCTTATTGAGAAGTTTTTCTGAAAAAAATGTTTTCATTACTGAGCAGATCTATTGTGTACAATCACGATAAGTTTAAAAACGGCATGATAAAAAAAAATTTGTCGTGCACACGCAAGCCAGTGGAGAAACGTTAAAAGATGCAGTCCCATGGTAGCCGGTGATCAGTAATAGGTTCATACACCTTTGATTCACTCAGGATCCTGAAGCCCATGTTAACCATTCGTTTGGAATCAGGGTTTCCCAACTCCCCTAGGTGGATCCTTAGTATCCACCAACCTGGTTAAAGCTTCAGATATTCGTTTTTCCTCCTCCCAATTTTGTAAACAACACGCTTCCAGAAGGCAGTGAGTAGGACTTCTCTGGCAGTGACTGTATAAGCGTGATCATGTGAAAGCATTTGAAGAGGGAGAGTTGACTCTCCCCACTCTCGCACGTACCAGGGCATTTCGGGGGTTGTTTCAGTAACGTTTTATTGAATCTTCGTATTAAAATTAGAAAAATCTGTTCATATATATGCAAGAGTGTAGTTTGAGAAAGTTGAACATTCCAGAAAAAAAATGATAATAAAACTTTAAGAAGACTGATAAATCACTGAAAACTATTGTGATTTTTCTGTTAAAGCAAATAAAATCTGATACCACTAATTTTAACACTGTATACATCAATGTCCCCAAATGCCCTGGTACGGCCGAGAGTGGGGATAGTTAGCTCTCATTATCGAAATGCTCTCACATGACCACGCGTATATAGCCTCTGCCAGCGAAGTCCTACTCACTGCCTTCTCGCACCACGAGCGTTGTTTACGAAATTGAGAGGATTAAAACCGAATATCTGGAGCTTTAACCAGGTTGGTGGATCCTGAGGATCCACCTAGGGGATTTAGGAAACCCTGATTACGAACCAATGGTGCACATGGGCTCCAGTATCCTAAGAGAACACATTGCGTATGAATCAATCGTCGGTCACCAGCTACCATGGGACTGCATCCCTTCACGGTACTCCACTGCCTTATGGATCAGACCTTTAGGTCAAAGGCTCCGGGTGTGGCTCCTTAAGAAAACCATCTGCTTCGATCAGGGCACTCGGGCAGTATCATAGAACAAAACAACTGTCCAAGCATTTCTGATTTTCAATATTATTTCAAAGGAGATCAGTTTGTGACAAATACCACCCATAAATCTCTTTAAGTATAAACTTGCTTTCTCCATTTATCATTTCTATTTTTAATTACCTTTTTAGACAACAAGTTGAACTTTTAGCTTACACCATATTAGATAAATATGAAACATCAGATGGTGGTTATGAAAAAATTCTACCAACATCTTTACCTAATTTAACTAATATCAATATGACAACAACTACATCAGTCGAAGGTACAATACCTACTATACATGGTACCAATTTATGTCCATTACAATGTCTCCAGAATGTTCAACATTCTTCACAATCACCTATAAGTCCTGGTCTTTGTTCTATACAATCAGCGATTACATCATCAAGTAGTTTATTAGATAATAATAATAATAACAATACTACTACTAATCATAATAATAATAGTATCTATGCTAATTCATGGTATGTTAGTTTAAATCGTAACAAATTCAATCCTGCTCAATGTTTACCAATAGAAATGAATGAACATTCTAATCAATCACAACAATTACCTTCAATGTCTTTACATTCAACAAGTAGTTCCATTCCATCAGTGATTTATCAACAACAACAACGACAGTATAATAATAATGTTAGATTAAATCATAATTTACAATTAATCAATCCACATTTACGTTCATTTGTTAAGTCTAATTCACAAAGTAATACAAATCAAACTATAAATGAAAGTAGAATGAATGGAAGTATTGATGGTTGTGGTTGGGAAACTCCAGATTCTGGGGCTGGAAGTAGTAGTATCAATGAATTATCATCACATCAACGACAACAATCAGGTTATTTGCTGAATCCATCATTGTTTTTATCTTCTTCAACATCTTCTTTGCTATTTGGACATTATTATCAAACTTATGGTGAAATAATTCAAAATAATACTACTCATAAAGGGAATAATCCATTAGATTTATTAGTAGTCAATACATTATTAGATAATCTACCACCATTATGGACATTATTTACAAAAACATCAACATCTTTTTATGAATCTGATTTAGATTCATCAGATTCATCTGATCTACCTGGAAATTTTATGAAAACTACTGATTTATCAAAACATACTACTCCTTCACATCATCATCCTCATAATCAGCAACAGCAACAGCATCATCCACAACAACAACAACAACATAATAGTAGTATTCATGGTCAGTTATTACCTCAATTACCTCCTATCTCATCCCAACAACAACAACAACAACAACCCAATTCCCATTCTATACAATTATCTAACTGGTCTAGATTAGAAGAACGTAAATTACGTATAATTTATTATCAATTAATTCATCATTATAAACGTTTACAATCTATGTTAATTGATATGCCTAATCCATATCAATTAGTGATACCAAACAATACTACTACTAATAATAATAGTAGTAATAATGTTCTAGAAACATCTTTAATGAATGAAATTGGCGAGAAGCCAAAAACTACCAATCATGTAATCAATCATCATCCAAATATATTAACAAGTAGATCTATAACAGTTAATCCAATACAACAACAACAGATTCATTTAGATCAACAAAATGTAAGTAAATAAAAAGAAATTAATCTAATTTTAATATGAAGGTAAAATGCTACTTATGGAATGATAAGTAGTATCAAGTGTTTTAATCATTTTGAGACTGGTAGGTCCTGGGTTCGAATCTCGTGAGGCGGGATTGTGGATACGTACTGCTGAGGAGTCCCACAGTAGGACAAAACTACCATCCAGCGCTTCCAGGTTTTCGATGGTAGTCTAGCTTCAATTGACTCATGATTTCAATTATGAAAATACTGAAATCTCCACAAAACCTCCTTCTGATTTATTTTATAGTTCAAATTATGAGTCAATTAAAGTTAGACCACCATGGAAAACCTGGAAGTATTGGACTGTCGTTTTGTCCTATTGTGGGACTCCTCAACAGTGTGCATCCACGATCTCGCCTCGTTAGATTTGAACCCAAGACCTATCAGTCTAGCGCCAGAGCATTTAATTGACTCACGCTTTCAACTATGAAAATACTAAGTCTCCACAAAAATCCTTCTGATAATAATAAATTAGATAACTTGTTAAAATATCTAGATAAAAAAAATAGACAGCCCAGATGTTCAAAGCAGACCGCCTTTTACGCAATGATTGTAATATTCTATCGCAATATCTTTAGATTAACTTTTTGATTTTTTGCATTACTTGACTGGTCTTCCCTGTCTCCCACATTGTCCGGACATTCCATGTATCTATGAAAAGTGTTGCTCTGGTTGTTAGAAGGTGCATCGGTCTCGTCATTTCCGAAAAAATTTCGGCTTTCATCATGAGGAGTCATAATTATTCCTTCAACTCCCAGGGCATAGTTTAAATGGGTTTTTTTTCTGGTTAGCGTTTTTTTTAGCGAGTTAGTTTTTCTACGGGATGGGGTTGCTAACGCTATGCCTAACCCTCCTCCTTTACCCTGGCTTGAGACCGGCATTAACTCTAGAAGAGCTACAGACGGAATTAGATTTTCTGCATAGAAATTGAATTCTATTACGTATGTATAGTGTATACACAACGAATCATCTTAACGATTTGTATTATCTTTAACTGACTTTATACATGAATAGGCAACTATGGATTATTATTGATTCTATAATAATATTTACTATATATTCATAGTCTAATACAAGGGAGCAGGTGGTTACAGTCATACTGTTATATGGGAATATACACATAGATACTACTTTTAAATACATTAGTATACAATACATACAGCAGGTGGTATTTCTAATCATTATTACTAAGTGAAAGTGTATTTCAACTGCTTTCATCTTCACACATACACACACACACTCACATGGTTACAAACATAATAACACATGTAAATGAGTGTTGGTATGATCATGAATATCAGTTCTTTTCCTATACTAATATGATATGATATACTATCTTTGTCCGCAGTGAATACAGTGTACACCGGGGTAATACATTAAGGATCTTTTTATAATTTCTTAACCTTATCAACAAATGTATAAATAAATAACAAATAGGTCTGACATCACTTTAGGTCAAGGTTGTTTTGTATAAATCATACTGATTTATTTTAAGAATAAATAAATATACAACAAGTGTGTGTGTGTGCCTGTGTGTAAACAAACATAAAAGGGGGGGGAATGAATGTAATCAGAGAAAAAAAACAACACACAGCCAATGGTTGTATTGACTTAATAGTAGTATTGGTTGGTAAGATAAACTAATGATTTGAAATGCTTTAAGCAAAGGTGTGTAGTAAGGTGGTGGTTGGAGGTGGTCAACAGGAAACCCTGGACCCGGGTTTCGTGCTACTTGGCACTCGTCAGCAAGGTGTACCTGTAATCCAGAGGGAACTGATGCTCCCTGGCGGATTCGATCCCGCGTCACTCAGCTTCACAGTCAGAGACGTTACCACTGAGCTATTCGGGCCGCGACCAACCTCCTGTAGGACTGAGATGTAATCACAATTGATTGATCACTGGGTGGTGGTGACCACAGGTGGTGGATTACAGGTACACCTTGCTGACGAGTGCCAAGTAGCACGAAACCCGGGTCCAGGATTTCCTGTTGACCACCTCCAACCACCACCTTACCTCAATATACATAGTGCAAGCAGTGTCGAGCCACCTAGACTGGTGGTCACATTGCAACTCGATCGATAGCATTCGATCAGCACTAAGAAGGACCTGACACGCATGAGATTGATCACCACCCAGTGATCAATCAATTGTGAAAGATGTATAGTGGTTAGCAGTGGAATCTAGTTTGATGGGCGTTTCGTCTTATTTGGGACTGGTCAGATGAATATACCTGCATCTCAGACTTGTTGATGTTCACTCTGGGATTCGAACCCAGTAGCTTTCTCTTTAAACGCCATCGCGTTATCCACTCAGTAGCTGACGAGTCTCAAAATAGCACGAAACGCACGTCCTAGATTCTACTACTAACCACTATCCATCTTTGCTTAGAATGCTTGTGAATTAAGGCTATATCGAGGCAATATGCACAATATGCACATATGCTAATTAGAGACTGAACAGTTGCAGTCCTAACACATCGATGGGAAGATTCAAACAAACAATACTAAATGAATTTAAATGCTTTAAGCCTATAACCTTTTCTGTGCAAAGGAATTTATAGTCTGATGTTAGCACTTGACAGTAGTTTCATCCGCCTGTATGAGTATAGACTGAGATGCTTCCCGGACTTTCAGGACGAAGCAAATGATTTTCTTAGGCGAAATTCCTTAAACTTCTAATCCATAAGACAATGAAATGATAGCCGGTAACTTAAACAGATTCATGCATCAGCCATCTTTTTAGGGTCCTGGAGTTCTGTAAAACAATAGTTTGAAATTAGGGTTTTCCAATTCCTCTAGTTGATTCATCTGTATGCAGTAATGGAGTATCATAACTGGTAGCTCACTTTTCATCTACTCAGTTTCGAAAAAAAATATCTCCGCTTAAAAGTAGTGAGTAGGAATTCCCTAGAAATTTAAAAAAATATCATAACCGTATGTGTTCTTTTTAAGAAGGAAGATTTAGACTCACCTTGCAACACTGACGTATCAAGGCCTTTTTAGACTATTCATCTTGCAAAATTTTATTGGTGTTACGTCCTTGAATCTGTCTACCCACTTTCGTGCCGAGTATAACTTGTCTAATGTAGATTAAGACATTGACGCGATAGGCTGACTGGCTTAACCTTGAGGCTAGTATGCGTGAGTTCGAAGCGGAGGTAGAGAGACGAAAACTATTCTATCCCTGATTGACTGACAAGCACGCGAGATAGAGAGAGGGAAGACAAGACAACTGGAACACTATCCACTTTATTCCAATCCCGATCTAGCACTCGAATTCCGAATTCGGATTAGTGTAAACAGATACATGAATCAATAGATGAATAACCTGACAACGTGCCATAATTAGGAAAATAAAATCATGTCCAAAACTGGGGGATTAGTGTAGAAAATAGAGTACAAAAGGTTACGTCTAAATCACAATAGCTTTGGAACAGCAAATGCTATGTTAATGAATCATACATCAAACGAAAGCTTATGATCTGTAGAATAGACTAGGGACAAAAGTAAATGTTACAGTTATACAAGCTTTGAATTAAATGAAATTATATCCCCCCCAAAAAATAGCTCACGTAGTTTGTTAAGGCTTCTTGTTTCGCAGTTCACATCAATTGGATTAATAAGCTTCAGTTCTGATGATAAATATACTGCTTTTAAACTTTTTGTAATCCAGGGTCTTGCATTTCCAAAGTACTGTCAATGTATGATATAGTGCAAACTCTATCCAATTTCATCAATGAATTACTGTCTGACTAATACCAACTTGGTTATTATCACCAGAATATAGTTTCTAACTGGAACATCCGAGAAATTCATCTTTATTTAGAAGGTGATCACTTTCATGATAAAATAATATTACTTAAATCTATTAATATGACCATTGCACAAGTAAATGACCAACAGGACTCAGTAGCTGAGTGGATAACTCGATGGTGTTTGAAGCGAACGGTAGTGAGTTCGAGTTCCAGGGTGAACATCTATTCTGAGGTGAAGGTACACCCAGCTGACGAATCCCAAATTGGACGAAACACGCGTCCTGGATGCCATTGCTAGCAACTATCCATCTTTGCTTCTAATCACTACTGAATAGTTTTAAACTAAGGTAAAACTAATGTTTGATGAAATGAACTTCCTTCAAATTGAATAAAATCTCAATTCTCTATCCAAATAATAATTCAACATCTTTTATGGAATCGATCGTTTATCACTAGCATTGAAATCGAAGACTCTCCTTTCATTTTCTTTAGGACTCGTCAGCTAGATATATCTGGAGGCCCAGTGTTGATGTTCACGACGGGGCTCGAACCCAATGCTTTTTACTTTGTTTCTGAACATTATCGACAAAGGCATCAATATATTCTCTTGTGTTTGACTGATAATGTTTGATGATATAAATGAAAGGATATCTTAAATGAAAATTTTTTTTCATCGTTGAAAGCGTGAGTCAATTGAAGCTAAACCACCATAGAAAACCTGGAAGCACTGGACGGCCGTTTTGTCCTATTGCGGGACTCCTCACCAGTGCGCATCCACGATCCCGCACTCGCGAGATTCGAACCCAGAATCTACCAGTCTCGCACCAGAGCAGTTAACCGATTGACCAAAACTTTTTTCAGCTCTTCATAGTTGATAGATATGAATAATTCCATTTCATTAATTTAATTATGTTTTTGTAACCAAATGTTAGCTGGGATACAAACTTCCTTTTTTTCTTAGTTACACCTTTTTTTAATATCTTATGTGACCATGGATACTATTATTCCAGACTAGTTAGAGTATAGTAAATGTTTTTATGGAATTTGTACGTAATAAGATATTAATCATTGAATGTATAAAATTCTAGAGTATCATAATTGTCAATTGAATTTAATTTTGAATAGGCGTGGTTTATATTTTGTCATTTGGTTGTAGTTAGTCTAGAAAAATGCCCTAGATCTAAGATTCATGTTATCTGATATTTGTTAACAAAGTAAACTTATATTCTTGAGGGAGCTAATCCCTACTGTAGGATTTGAGCTAGGTATTATCCAGAGGAGATAGTAGATATAAGAAGGACTTGAAACGCATAACATTGATCACCACCCAGTGATCAATCAATTGTGATTACATCTCAGTCCTACAGGAGGTCGGTCGCGACCCGAGTAGCTCAGTGGTAACGTCTCTGACTGTGTAGCTGAGTGACACGGGATTGAATCTGTCAGGGAGCATCAGTTCCCTCAAGATTACAGGTACACCTTGCTGACGAGTGCCAAGTAGCACGAAACCCAGGTCCAGGGTTTCCTGTTGACCACCTCCAACCACCATCTCATCTCAATATATATAGTGCACGCAGTGTCGAGCCACCTAGACTAGTGGCCACATTGCAACTTGATCGATAGCAATTTGATCAGCACTAAGAAGGACTTGACACGCATGACATTGATCACCACCCAGTGATCAATCAATTGCGAGATATTGCCACTTAGTTACTCAAGGTCACGAATAACTTCTTGAGGGACTAAAATATTAACTGTCAATTTTTAATGATTTCATTGAAACATGGAAAGCTAATACAGAGAAAGAGAGAGATAGAAAATAAGACAAGGACTATAGTATGATATTGTGACTAGTCACAATTGCATTAGATTCATCTAAGAAACAACCATTATGCAATTATGAAATGTCCACTTACACATACTAGTCTTTGTAACCTGTCAAAAAACCACCAATAGATATATAATGCATTATTACCTTGAATTTCATGTGTTCAACAACTAAGACACTAAAACCCAACCGTTGCTGCTACCTTGACGTTGTGGTCGGGCGTGTTTATCGTGATGAAACAATAGAGTTATAATGGCTGGAACAACCGTTCATCAACGCCCTACTATGCCACATGGGTCGGTTGAACAGCGCTAACAGTAAAAGCAACAATCCATAGGTTCGGATGCGAAATCGTACTTCTGGCTGTACAGAGGTGTGATGACAGTAAGGTGTTTCCCTCAGACAACCAACATAATATCGATGCTGCCTTCTTACAAAGGAAGGGTGAGGTTAGAAAAGGTCAACCCTGAAAATGCACGCCTCGCCTTATCGCATAGATATCGTATCCGATGGAATGGTTGCAACAATTACGGAGGTGACACAAAAAGGTTGTGTTATTTCCTGGAGTTCTAATGAGAAGCAGTAACCAGTGAAGTTCAACTAGGTCTGTTGTGAGATAGTAATTCACTGAAGATAATCATTGACGGTTGCTCAATTTCATGGATTGGTTAAAGTTAGACATTAACATCGTTGGATGCCAGTCAGCTCAGTGGTCTAAAGGTTAATCACTTGAGCGCGAAACTGATAAGTCCTGGATTCGAATCTCACGAGGCGAGATCATGAATGAGCGCTGTTGAGGAGTCCCACACTAAGACGAAACAACCATCCAGTGCTTCCAGGTTTTCCATGATGGTCTAGCTTCAATTGACTCATGATCTCAACTACATAAAATTACTAAAATCTCCACAAAACCACCTTCTAATAATAATAATAATCAATTACCTTGATGAATATTTTAAATTGATTATCTTTTTATCTTTTTTTTGTATCCACGCTAATTTTTTTTTGTTTTTTTCTACTTTCAAAAATCGATTTTATGCTTGTTCCAATTTATTGATTTTCTGTCTATAATTCCTTTTTTTCCCCTCTCTCTCCCCCACTCTCCGTCTCTCCTCGTATTACTATTATCATCAAATAGTCAATTTCAATGAATTCATTACGTAAATTACCATTGGCTGTATTTTTGGAAAATTCAATTTTATTACAAGTAAGTAGTATGTAGTGTTTTGTTTTAAAAAAAAATTTTTGTTTTTTTCTTTTCTGGGAATAATAATTTACCCTTGTAGTTATATTTAAATTTCTTTGATTCATTGTTAAGTTGACTAGTATCAAATCAGTGACAATAATCTTTTAGTAGTTGGGTTCATGAGTTAATTGAAGCTAGATGGCTATGAAAACCCTGGAAGTACTGAACGACCGTCTCGTCCTAGGATGAGACTCCTCAGCAGTGCTTATCCATAATCCCACCTCGCGAGATTTGAACCCAGGACCTATCCGTTTCGTGCGCGAGCGCTTAATGCTTAGACCACTGAACTTACCAGCACTCAACAGTGTTAATGTCTAACTTCAACCAATCCATAAAATTGCACCACATAGAATGAATACGCTCAGAAGGGGCTTTGTGGGGATTTCAGTATTTTTCAAAGTTGAAATCATGAGCCAATTGAACCTAGACCATCATGGAAGGGTAAGGGCTCTGGTTCGAGACTGGTAGGTCCTGGGTTCGAATCTCTCGAGTGCAGGATCGTGGATGTGCACTGCCACTGATGAGTCTCATAAGGGGACGAAACGGCCGTTCAGTGCTTCCAGGTTTTCCATAGTGGTCTACCTTCAATCAACTCATGATTTCAACTTTGAAAAAGATTGAATATGCATTAAAATCATTGATAACCATTACATGTTTAGTCTAATATGTTTAAAGTAAACAATAATTTGTCGAATATTCTGAGCTGGAATAACACTGATTGGTGCTGAAACGCTTCGAAAACACACACACACACTGTGATTGATTTCGATGAAGATGAGCTATTTATAAACACATCCTGCAAATAACTAACAAAGTTTATGAAGATGTATGAATAGTATTATCAGTAGTACTATGGATGTTGACAGACATAAGTAGTATGTATCATTAATTGAAAGTGAAATGTCTGACGATAGAAGGTGAAGAATATCTAAGAAAAGAGAATGAGAACAGAGAATGATTGGTGTGGAAACGAAAGAACAATGAAGTCTGAGACGATTGACTCACATTTGTGAAAAGAAGCAGTCAATTTTGAGATAATTGATCAACATATTACAAATGAAGTATTCACTGTATGGTTCTCAGATTTTACTATGATGTTCTGTAATTTTGTGTTCTAATACAGTCTATTATTCCCACTTGTGTTCTCGTTCACTACAATAGTAGTAGTAGTAGTGTGATGTGTTCTACTTACGTCTACAGATCTGAGTAGTATGTAACACATATCAGAGAAGTGGAATACCTAGTAGCAGAAGATTGAGGAGTCCAAATTGAAGAAAACAGGAATGAAGGAACTGTGAAGTTTGTAAGAGACAATTGATGGATGATGTACAAATGAAGTAGTTGATGTATGGTTTTTATAATTTATGAAGACACTCTGTAATTTTGCACTAAACAATATATTGCTTTGCCCCATTTGAATGCAGTGGTAGTTGGTCAACGTTAAAAAACTGAATTGAACAGATTACTTTATTGCATAGAATGCAATATCCAGTTTGTTTATAGTAACTTGGTAAAGTGTTTAGTTACGGTTATTTAATGTATTAACTATATATATCCTTGAATTCACTTAGTATTGTTTGTTTGAATCTTCCCATCGATGTGTTTAGGACTGCAAACTGGTCAGCCTCTAATTGGCATATATGTATGCTGTGCGTATTGTCTCGATATAGCCTTAGTTCACAAGCATTGGATTTCATTGCTAGCCGCTATCCATCTTTGCTTACATACAATAAACAGTTAATCTGCGAAATAACAATCAATTGTCTCAATCTTCATTGTTCCTTCTGTAAATATCAGTCCATCCTCTCTGCTTTCATTGTTTATGCATTTTCATACCGATTGCGCATCGTTCTTGTTCTTTCCTTATCGATCTTCAACCGAAATAAATTCCATGCCCGACCTACACCAATATACTACTTATGTGGATATAAGTAACCCACAACATATTATCTCTTGTCACATACTATCCACTATTCAGTGGTATTGATATGGCGTTAATATTTTCAATTTGTAGTGATAAATGATCCATAGTTCTATCAGTATTTGAGAAATTACCCGTTACTTAAGTAATGAACTGTATTAAATGTTTTCATTGTAACAACCATACACTACACTCAGTAATTGGAACTAAACTCATACATAAGTTGTACACATTAAATAGCAAATATGTAAATTCATATTTTCGATGACATTGTAGCTCCAGTGTTAGGTAATTGGAAGTAGTCATCAGGCTCTCAGTTGCTCACACCCTGGAAGGGTTCTTCCGGAGGTACCTGAAAAAAATTGGGTTGGAGTTGATTTTAGTGACGTGAGAACGTGATCGCAGTGCTCAAAGCACAACTGCTTGAAGCCAGTCACACACAACCTTTTTATGAGTAATTTTCGTGTCAGCTCGGTATTTGTTGAGAACGTTCCACCGGATATGGGTATCTATGGGATTAGGAGAGATGTGCATTTTCAGTGTTGATCCTTTTCAACCTCACTCTTCCTTTGTGGGAAGGCAGCATCGATATTATGCTGGTTGTCTGAGGAAAAGACCTTACTGCCATCACACCTCTGTACAGCCAGAAGTAGGACTTTGCCTCCGAACCTCTGGATTGTTGCTTTTATTGTTAGCGGTGTTCAACCGACCTATGTGGCATAGTAGGACGTTGATGAACGATTGTTCCAGCCATTATAACTCTATTGTTTCATCACGGTAGGCAAGCCCGACCACCACGTCAAGCTCACAGCAACGGTTAGGTACCCCTTATTTAATACATTTGGAATTGTTTTCAATTTGTAGTTAAATAATATTTTGTATGAGAAGGAGTTTTTTGTGGATTTTATAGTAGCTTTAATAGTTGAGATCATGAGTAAGTTGAAGATAGACCACCATGGTTTGTTGTGAGAAAAGAAAATGGTGGATGTGTCGCTGAATTTCGTGGATCAGTTGAAGATAGATATTAACACTGTTGGATGCCGTCCGGCTCAGTGGTTATCTAGAAGTTAAGCGCTCACGTGCAAGACTGGTAGGTCCTGGTTTGAAATCTCGCGAGTGCGGGATCGTGGGTGCGCACTGCTGAAGAGTCCCATATTAGGGCGAAACAACCATCCCTTGCTTCCAAGTTTTTCATGGTGGTCTACCTACAATTGACTGATGATCTCAACTATTGAAATCATATTTATTAATTTATCAATCTCTTCATATATTTTGTTTCTAGGAATTATGTTGTATTAAAGAAGAATGTGCTGATCTTAAAATTCGTGTATATTTACTTGAAAAAGAATTACACTCTAATCGTTTAACATTAGATAGTCGTGCAGTAGCTGAACGAGCATTACGTGCACATCTTGATGCATTGATTATTGAACAAAATAATCAACAATCAATATTCAATCATAATCATTCAATAGTAACAGAATTCAATAAAACAACACCAACCATAAATCAATCGATACAAAATGTTAATCATAATGAAATTGTTTTATTAAGAGGTCAAGTCAAGGTAATTTATTTGTTGTTTTTGTCTTTGTTTTTCGTTTTGGAAAACCTTTAAACACATGATAGCTATTTCGTACTCGTATAGGTTTCCTCAGAAGTGAGCATCCTTACTTACTTACTTACTTAATGATGCCTGTTACCCCTCGTCGAGGAGCATAGGCCGCCCATTAACATTCTCCATCCAACCCTGTTCTGGGCAATCTTTTCCAGTTTTTTCCAGTTGTTATTCATTCTTTTCATATTTGCTTCTATTTCCCGACGTAGTGTGTTTTTTGACCTTCCTCTTTTCCGCTTCCTTTCAGGATTCCAAGTTAGAGATTGCCTTGTAATGCACATTAGTGATTTCCTTAATGTATGTCCTATCCACTTCCAACGTCTTTTCTTAATTTCCTCTTCAGCTGCAAGCTGGTTTGTCCTCTCCCATAAAACGCTGTTGATGATAGTATCCGGCCAATGGATGTTGAGTATTTTGCGTAGACAACTGTTTATAAATATTTGTACCTTCTTTATAATGGATGTAGTAGTTCTCCACGTTTCATCTCCGTACAGTAGAATTGACTGACTTGACGTTCGTATTGAAGTTTCTGACTTCGAAATTAGTTGACAGTTGTTGTGAGTTCCATATGTTCTCCAATTGTAGAAATGAAGTGAGCATCCACCATACCTGATATTGTCTTGCAAATTGAAACGTTATACTCGGATCCTAAGCTAGTCTCTTAACTCTAAACCTAGAACTACACAGCGACTTGAACACGAGAGAAAAGGTGATGTGAGTTTAACATCAATAACATCATCAAATTCTATCTTATTATGGCCCCCGAATGCCCTTGTACGGCCGAGAGTGGAGAGAGTCAGCTCTCCCTCTCCAAGTGCTCTCACATGGCCACGCGCATATAGCACTGCCAGGGAAGTCCTACTCACTGTCTTCTCCTGGCATTACTGTTGTTCACGAAAGTGAGAGGACGAAAAGCTAATGTCCGGTGCTTTAACCGGGTCGGTGGAAACGGAGGGTCCACCTAGGGGAGTTGGAAAACCCTGATTCCAAATCAATGGTTCACATGGTATCCAATATTCTGAAGGAACAAATGGCGTATGAATCAACCGTCGGTCACTGGCTACCATGTGACCGCATCTCCTCACGATGATCCACTGCTTTGTTGATCATACCTTTAGGTCAAAAGCTCGGGGTGTGACCCCCTAAGAAAACCACCTGTTTTAGTTTGGGCACCTGGGCAGTATCACAGCCCTCACACAAATCTCATTTGATTTGTACGGCGCATACGTATCTGGTGCTTCCTTGTACCAATATTTATATGTTTAAATGAATTGTTCTTGTTTCTTTCAGTAATACATCCAATACTAAAGTAGTCTTCAGGTGGCCAATATAAAAATGGACGGTTATTGTTATTTAGACGAAACAGTTTTATATAGATTTCTTTATTTTGTAGATGGCACTTATCAGAGATTGATCTCAGTTCGGGTATCATTAAAAATCCCAGAAGACTAGAAAGCTGTTTATTGGTGCTTACACACTAATCTGCCACGATCAAACCCAGAGTCTAATGGTATCTTCATGTGTGCTTCAGAATCAGAACTAATAAGTCTTGCTAACTGAACGTTATACTCGATTCCTAAGCTATTCTAATAACCCCCAAGTTAAATCTACACAGCAACTTGAACACCAGAGAAAAGGCACAAAATATGCGAGAAGCACTTAACTCCAAAAGTTCATTTATGTATAGAAAATATAGAGTTTTCATAGTATTTTAGAAGTCCTATGGTTTTCCTGAAAACTCTAGAATACTACTAAACAAAGTAGCAGTGTAGTAATCAGTCAATCAGAAACTCTACATGTGACTTTTCACTTTTGTGATGTTTCTAACAAAATTTGTAGTCAATCGCTGATTGGATAAAATGCTTCTTTAATGTGTCTTGAACCTTTCTTGTCTGTTGCGAGAAATTTTCAGGATCGCCCCAACAATACCGCACATGGAAATCGAACTCAACATCTTCGGTTTCGCGTGTGAATGCTTAATTTCTAGACCATTGAGCTGGGACTCAACAGTGTTTATGTATGACTTCAACCAATCGACAGTGTCACGCGGCCCTCTTCTATTGTGTGCAGTGGGCAGATACCTCACAATCGATACTGTTTAACCTCACTAGTGACGACTTCTTATTAGAACATCGAGAATTATTTCTCAAAGCTAATCATTAATGAACACATGATGGATGCGCACTGCTGAAGAATCTCATACTAGGGTGAAACGATAGATTCAGCGGTAGTCTAATATTGATCAGTTAATGATTTCAATAAAATATAATATATAGGATAATTGTTCATCTATTTAATTTAGCATAATTATATTGAATACAAATTGTGATGATTTTCATTGAAGTACAATTATACCAGTAATAATAAGTAATGAATCCTAGTTGTGTTTTAGAAAATTTTTATAGTTGAGATCATGAATCAATTGAAGCTGGATCACCACGGAAAACCTGGAAGCATTGGACGGCCGTTTCGTACTATTGTGGGATTCCTCGGTAGTGCGCATCTATGATCCCGCCACGCGAGATTCCAAACTAGGACCTACTAGTCTCGCGCGTGTGCACTTGATCGATAGACCACTGAGCTGATCGGCACCTGATGGTGTCAATGTCTAACTTCAACCAATCTACGAAATTGAGCAACCGTTCACCGATGGTCTTCAGTGAGTTCCTATCTCACGACAGATGAAACGGCCGTCCAGTGTTTCCAGGTTTTCCATGGTGGTCTAGCTTCAATGGACTCATGATTTCAACTATGAAATTAGTGAAATTTCCACAAACCGTCTTCTGATTTTAGAAAATTAACATAATCTTTGTGATATAGGATTAAATCAAAATCTGATCTTTTTAATCAGTACTGATATTGTCAACTGTTGTCAATTTCTGACAGATTATTAGTATACACTGTATAAAGAGTATCTAAATGACAATAGACGTTTTTAGATAATTTTCTTTACCTTCCATTTTTCAATGATTATGGAAATTCTGTGGTTTGCACAAGATTTCGCTGATATTATGGTTAGGTACTATTATTTATTTATGTGCTTACTCCTGTTGCCCCTCGTGGAAAAGCATGGGCCGCAAACCAGTATTCTCCATCCAAATCTGTCTTGAGTAATCCTTTCCATTTATTTTCAGATGCTATTCATTCTCTTGATGTCTACTTCCCATTCCCAATGCAGTATATTCCACGCAAGCTCTAGCTTCGTGATGCAGTTTGGTGATTTCCGTAATATATGTCTTATTCACTTCCAGTGCCTTTCCCTACTTTCTTCTTCTGCTGAAATCTGATTTGTTCTCTCCCACAGTAGGTTATCGCTGATGGAATCCGATCACCGGACATTGAGTATCTTCAACAGACAATTGTTTATAACTACTTGTACTATTTTGATAATGATTGTGGTAGTTCTCCAAGATTCAGCTCCGTACAGTAGAAATAATTGTGCTGACGTTCGAATTGGAGATTGTGATTTGGATATTGGTTGAGTGTAGTTTTGAGTTCCATATATTGTTCGACTGTAGGAATGCTGCTGCTAGTTTTTCAAGTCTCGGTTTTACGCTTGAATCACAACTTCCTTGTTTATCGATGATGTTGCTCAGATACATGAAAGTCTTCATCTGTTCCAGGACTTGTCCATGAAGTGTGATTGGGTTAGTGATCTCTGTTTTGTATTCGAGGATCTTGTTTTATCGCATGTTTATATTGATGCATACCGATGCAAACACTGCTGATACACTGGCTATCCTCATTTGTTGGTGTATATGCGATAGAAGAGCTCGGTCATCTGCAAATTCCAAATCATCTAGTTACATCCAAGCTGCTCAATGCATTGTGTGCTTTCCTCTCAGGTGTCGAGGTTTTCATGATTCAGTCAACTATCAGAAGAAGGGGAAAGGGCGAGAGTAAGCAGCTCTGTCTGACACCGGTCATCACTTGGAACGCATTTGTCAGCTGTCCTCCATGCACCACTTTGCACTGTAGTCCATAGTATGAATCCCGGATGATGGTGACATTCTTCAAGGGTAGATCATAGTATCGAAGAAGTTTCCATAAGATCCTCCTATCCATGTAGTCAAACACTCTCTCATAGTCAATAAATATAATGTATAGTGATGAGTTCGATCCAACTGACTGCTCAACGATGATCTGTAGTGTCGCGATTCGGTCTGTGCACGGACGACCCTAATGGAATCCAGCCTGTTTGTCTCGAAGCTAGGCATCGACTGAATCTTTCATTCTGTTCAGCAACACTCTGTTGAAAACATTTCCTGGCTCTGATAGAATGTTATACCTCCATAGTTCTGACACTTGCTCAGATCTCCTTTCTTTGGTATATTGATGAAACGTTATTTTTCCCAATTTGTCAGCGGCACTTATTTTTCCATTAAAATCTTCCGGAATAGAGCGTGGAGCATGTTTTCAGTTACTCCTATGTCTGGCCACAATGCTTTAATTGATATGTTATCTGGTCCTGCTTCTTTCACACTGTTGATTTGTTTGATGGCCATCTTGATTCCTTCGGTCGTTGATGAAGCTTTATTTATAGGAATGTGTGTGTGCTGCTTCGATGTCTGACGGGTTCAGTGGGACTGGTTTACTTAAGAATTCTTCAAAGTGTTTCACCCATCTATTCCTCTGTTTCATTTCTTCCAAAGTTTCTCCTCATGAAGTATGATTAGTTTAGTATCCTCTGTATTCGATTTGAGGATCTTGCATTTTCCCTCTTTGTATATGTATTAACCTATTGCTTTACTATCCTTACTTTCTTTTCTTTCTTTCAATTTTTTTTATAGAATCTATTACAAGCACTTGAAGCATTACGTAGTAGTACAGAAATACAACAAATACAAAGTGAAGAATTAGTAAATGATTTAAAACGTGCTAATAGTGCATTAATTAAAGCATTTAATAAAGTTAAGCATAAATATACAACACGTATTAAAAAATTAGAAAATCAATTACATTCTATACAACCAATTCCTTCAATTGATTCTAATTCATTACCATTGAATAAACCATTTAGACCACAGACAAATAGTTCGACGATTATTCAGACTGCTACTACTACTACTACTACCACCAGTACTACCAGTACTACTCATAACGATCATTTAAGTAATACATTCAAAGGATGTATCATAGAACATCATGATTTAAATAATGTAAGTATTAATTCACATATTCATTCTATTTATCCTATCAAAAGTAGCTTTCAACAATCTACAATAACAACAACAACAACAACATTAAACCATTCATTAAATATACCTACAATGATTGATTCTAATCGTGATTTCATACCATCAATTCCAACATCTTATATTCCTTCGATTCCTCTAAATCCTAATCCTCATCCTCATCATCATCATCTTGATCATCATCAGGATCATCTTTATCCACAAACACAACAACAATTGATGAAATCAAATACATCTAAAGTAAAAACAACTCCTTCACAACATTTAACAAATGTAAAACAATTTCTTACTCATTAAAATATGGTTCATATTCTTCTATTCTCTGTCGTTTAATTCTTCTATTCCCTACCCCTTTCCCCCCCCCTTGCCTGCATTGTACAGTTCATTAATGAAATTTGAATAGGAATCTTTCCTTTTTTTTTATTCTTTCAATTAAGATTACATTTTCTTGTTTCCTTTTTGTAATGTGAATATTTAACAATAATCCAGATGGTTACATTATCTTTTATTTGTTGTTTTCTTTTTTTTTCATATTTTCCGCGGTTTGATTTGTTTAAAACAAAACAAAAAATTTTTTGGCGGCAAATGGATGACACGCTACACGATACTATACATATATATATATATATTCAAACGAATTAGTGTACTGTTTACTGCTGAAATCTTTCTTTTCAATTCTCCTTTTTTTTATTCAATCTATACATACTACTATCTGTACTACTTATATCCATTCTATATATACTATTTAATTCAATGAGATAAACTAATTAATAATGATTATAAATATGCCTTATCTTTTAAGATTTAAATCATTCAATGAATAATGAATAGAATATATATAGATATTTATGCTTTGAATAATATTCATGAACAGATCTGTACTTATTTTGGGGGGGTTCTTTCCCCCCCCCTCCTTTTCTTCTCTTTCATTATACTCTTCTTAAGCGATGAATATTTTATGTTTCTCTTTTTTTTCATTGATCTATTCTTTTTTTTTCTTTTCTTTTTCCCCCTTAGTAACAATAATATTCATGAACAGATCACTTTTTTAAAGGGGTTGTTTACCCCCCTTTTTTTCTTCTCTTTTTATTATACTCTTTTAAAAGCAATCAATGTTTTTTAATAATGCATTTGATTTTCTTTCTTTTTTTCTTTTGTTTTTCCCCCTTAGTAACAATAATATTCATGAACAGATCTGAACTTTTTGAGGAGTTCCTTTTTTCCCTCTTTTTTCTCTTTAATTACACCCTTCTTAAATAATCAACATTTTATAGTTGTGCATTTATTTATTTCTTTTTTTCTTTCTTTTTTTTGATTGATTTATTCTTTTTTTTCCTTTTCTTTTTTCCCCCTTAGCAACAAAACCAAATAGAATTCTATTTGAAAATTAAAAAAATATATAATTTGTAAAAAAAAACAAAAAAGAAAAAGAAAAATTTTTTTTTCTTCTTCTTCATTCAATCTTACCTTGGTTACATCATCATCATCATCATATTTTAGATTCGTATAGAATGGGATCTTGATGATTAGAATAAAAGTTAAATGATAGAAAGAAGAAGAAGAAGAAGAAGAAGAAGAAGAAGAAATCAATATTGAAAGTTTTTTTTTAATTTGTATAGTTGAATCTTTTTTTTTTCAATATTGTTTTTTGGTTTTCACATATATATAAATATACTACTTAATTACTTATTTTGATGTGCATATATTGAAATACATGCATATATCATATATATATACATAGATATTATGTTATTGGTTTGTATATTTCTTCATTAGTCATTTTATATGAACAAGGAGTTCGTTCTGACGAAACTATAATTTATAGATGACCTTTGAATGAATCTTAAATGACCTTGAAAAAATGTTATCTAATCAGTAGATAGTCAGTATAGAGTAAAACTTTATTATACAAAACCAAATAATTAAAGTAGATACAATACTTTCTTTTATATGGTCCAAAAAACTTGTCAAGATAAGAAAATAGTTCAAAGGTTCCAAAATCGTAATGCATAAAGTAGAGGAACTCATTCATATGGTTCCATAATAGTTGGTCTCTGGAGACATGATAAAATCAGAAAAACACCATTCAGCCTCGACTATATAGGTTCATTATTGTTTGTGTGTACTCCGGTTGTGTAAATTTACTATTTTTATTATGGATATATCCTTACAATACTCATACCACTGAACAGTCAAAGATTCAGTAACATATGCGATTATTGCAACCGATGTCACTGATGCTTTTATTATACGGTTGGCGGCAATTATTATAATATGCCTTAGTCTCAATCTGGATCGAGCGATAAATGTTCCTATTCTAGCAAACGTCTTCCTTCAACATATATTAGATCGAAGGACAACATCACGGTAGTCTGCACAAGGTCTACAAGTTATTTGACCACTGCAATTACAAAAAAAGAAACTTCTTAGTAGTCTCATTTATTGTAGTCGCTTAATTGTCAAGTCTTCTCTAAAATTCTCTGTGTATCGATCGTACATGAGCATCAGGCACTGAAATTGGCGTCGTGACCTTGAAATCCGTCAAACGCTTCTGATTGGCTCGTCCATAAATTATAGTCTCGCTGGAGTTCCTTTTTTTCTAGTGTATGAGCTATTTATTAGTCAGTCACAACGTAAAACTTTGTACGTACGTACGTACGTACATCAGTTCGAGTTGCCATACCACATTAGCATAGAGGTGCAGTGGTCGATTCAAATCCCATAGTGGTAGAAGTAGTAAGAGTATAAGTAGTAATCGGAAGGATTAGGGTTTGAAGATGTTATTCAAGGAGTATAAAAAAGATAGAGATATGAATAATTCAGAAGATTAGAATTTGGCAGAACACAAAGAGTGGATGCACCTACGCTATTGAAAATGATGTTAGATCAACGACCAAAGTCATTCTTGAGATATTTCAAGTGCTATTAGTTGCGCAAATATGATCATCAATGTGAAGTTGCTCAAACTATGGAAAGATACTTCTCTTTGAGGTATCTGTAAATGAACCTGAATTAAAAGTAGTCTTGGTGATTTGAGACCATGATGACAGAGCTCAAAGGATAACTGCTTGAAGTTAATCACTCACAAATAATCTGTAAGTAGTTTTATATATATTGGGCTCTTAATTTCAAGGCCCTACCATCAAAGACAGGAATTCATAGAGGAGAATGAGGTGTACTATTTTTAGAGTCCAAATTTACTAACCCTCTCTTCAATTTGAAGGAATACAGCATAGATAAAGGAAACGCTTTAAGGTTGTCACATTCTTTTTCATTTGGAAGTAAATCTCCTTTAGACTTTTAATTTGCAGCGTATTCTCTAACGACTCTCAAGCTAACCTGTTTAACATCATGAAATCTAAGTGGAATAAAGCCAAGAAAGTATATTATGATATATAATCTCAAGCACCCCTTGAACATAGAATTCTTCAATAGCTTAGTGGTAGCGTTTAACGTCATAAAACTCCGATGCGTATTTAAATCTAACAAGGAATATTAGTTCTCTCAAAACTAAGGATGATCCTTTCTGACGAGTGCCGACCATTATAAAACTAATCTTCAGGGTTCTAACCCGACTTATTCAACTACTTAACATATAGATTTGAGCCTAGAATGACTTTTCTGATTGTGTTTCTTCAACTGATCTGGTGACAAACTCATTAATATCAAAAGCTAACTTCTGATAGAAATTCACCTAAAAGTGATCAGAAATGCCTATTTGTTTGATGGCTATCAGTCATTAACAACATGAGATCTAACACCAGCATAAGTTGATATACTTTAGATCATCACAACTAGATAATTGAATTAACAGGATAAAAAATAAAGAAGTCGGACTAATAGTAATAATATCAACAGTAGTAACCTGTGGAGAAGATTTTTAGCTCAGTTGGGTGATTTTGATGGAGTTTTGTTCTCTTAGCTGGATAGTTTGGTTGTGGAGCTTTCATCGTCCTTCTGAACGACATCATCAACAAAAACTTTAGGTAGAAGTTTGTCGTTCAGAAGGACGACGAAAACTCCACGACCAAACTATCCAGCTTAGAGAACAAAACTATATCCTTCTAGTTTCTAATTGTTCTCTCAACTAACCTTCATCAATGACGAGACTAAGCTTCACATTCAACTGACCACTATAAATCTTTAGTCTGAAGAGAGTAAACATTAAACCAAATAAGTTAACAAACACCCATAAATAGTTTGAGTATTTTTATTAAATAAGAAGACATTAGTCAATTCAATACATTCCATGTAAAGTTGTGATAAACAGCAGTCGTTTATAAATTTACATTGCTGATACATTGTGATTGGTTTCATTGACACTGTTCTGAAATGTATGAAGAGATAAAGCAGGAAAGGGTAGTTAATGATGATGATGATGATTGAAAGAAGAATCACATTAAAATGATCATAGTTGAAATCATTAGTCAATTGAAGCTAGACCACTAGGGAAAACCTGGAAGCACTGGACGGCTATCAGGTTTTCCTTTGTGGTCTAGCTTCAATTGACTCATGATTTCAACTATGAAAATACTGAAATCTCCACAAAAACCCTCTTTTGATAATTAAAATGATTAGCAATATTTGTACCAGTCGTAGAGGATATTCCACCACGGATTTGATCAGTCTATATCTGAAAAGGAGAAAATTCATAGTAGATTTTATCCATTATCATTTTATGTGATTCGTCCACCAAGTATAAACTTTTTACCCAGATTTTCTGCATATAGTTATTTTATGGGTTGAAGATGTAAGTCGATTGTTTAAATAGGCACAGGAAACATTGTACACAGAGGATCCACCTAGAGGGATTGGGAAACCCTGTTTCCCAACCAATGGTGAACATGGGCTCTAGGATCCTGAGGGAATCACAGCTGTATGAACCTATTCCTGGTCAACGGATACCATAAGACTTCATATGCTAAAGTTGCCCCACTGCCTTGTGAACTAGAGGCTCCGGATGAGGTCCCCTAAGAAAATCACCTGCTTCGGTTTGAGCACTACCTCAACCCTGAAAAAATCAATGATAATTACCGCTGGTCTCATTGTTATTGTGTGGCTCATATGTATTTAGTGCTCCCTTGTACCAATGTTCATGATTTCAAGTAAATAAATCATAAATAATACGCCTATTTCACTCTTTTACAGGACTCATGAGTGACAATGCAGAGCCACGACCACATCAGTGATCGAACCTAGAACTTTCAAGTCCCTATAAGTCAGTTACCAATGATTAATATGTTGAACTTCAATCAACTCATAACTTTATGTAACCATATTCCAACGATATAGGTGAGTAACTGTCTCAAACCAGATATAACTGAACTCCACTGATCATTGGAGTCCCAAAAGAGTTCAAAGAATCACATCTCAAAATGAGTCAATAGTGAGGGCATAATTACAATTACTAATGTAGGAGGTTTTTAGGACTTGTTAAATTTTAAAGTTTGGATCCTAACATTCAAAGAAACAACTAGCCAATACTTTCTGATTTTCAGTGGTTACTCAACTGAATTCAGTCAGTGATGTAAACAAATAAAATTCAACAATTTCCACAAATTTCCCATACTAACTACTTGATTGACTAAACTGATTCAGGAAGATCTGGGTTCGATTTGATGATCGAATCGTTGAAGATTGAATTATCCAACCAATATACCTTGACTTCTGAGCAAGTTAGTACCTATTTTTAATTCAATAGTAACCCAGTAGATAAAACTCTGTCGTTTGAAGTATATAGTCACCCAACTGGGTGGTAATCAATGTCATGTGTGTCAAGTCCGTCTTAGTGCTGATCGAATGTTATCGATCAAGTTGCAATGTGGCCACTAGTCTAGGTGGCTCGACACTGCGTGCACTATATATATTGGGATAAGATGGTGGTTGGAGGTGGTCAACAGGATACCATGGACCCGGGTTTCGTGCTACTTGGCACTCGTCAGCAAGGTGTACCTGTAATCTTGAGGGGACTGGTGCTCCCTGACGGATTCGATCCCATGTCACCCAGCTTCACAGTCAGAGACGTTAACACTGAGCTATTCGGGCCGCGACCGAAGTATATAGTTTTGACTCTCCAGAGGAACATCAGTATTGAACTTCACAGTTATATCCAGTTGACAGGTCCCTAGTAGGAGGACCATAATGCGTTTACTTAACTTTTGATATATCTAAATCTCATCTATGTACTTCAATTTTGTTCAGTCTTAACATACTATACTATTTTTATATAGTTGAAATCATGACTTAATTGAAGCTGGACCATCATGGAAAACCTGGAAGCACTGGACGGCCGTTTCGTCCCATTATGGGACTCCTCAGCAGTACGAATCCACGATCCCGCCTTCGTGAGATTCGAAACCAGGACCTATCAGTCTCGCGCCAGAGCACTTAAATGATAGACCACTCAGCCAGCATCCAACGGTGTTGATGTCTAACCTCAATCAATCCACTATTTTGTAAAAGAATCAAAGTATAAATTTGTAGGAAAGTATAAATCCTGTGTAGATTTGAAATCACTAATTGAGTTAATGGTGAATTATTCATTTACTTACTATACTATACTTTTACAGTAGTCAATGATTTTTCGAGATGATAGGAAAAAAAATAGCAGAGTATGCTATCGATTAACTCCGCCTGTAGCTCCTCCAGAGGCTACTGCCGATCTCAAGCCCGGATAAAGGAGAAGGGTTTGACATGGGGTTGGCGACCGCATCCTGTAGAAAACTAACTCACTAAAAAAGATGCTAACTAACGCTATCGATTGATCAATGTTAAGTCGGAGCTAAATAAAATGTTGAATATCGTGGGGTCAATTTCAAAGATTATAGAGGATGTGGTTATCCTCTGACGACTAGGCTGTTATACTTAGCTTAAACTTAAGTCAATCAACTTGTAATATCCTCATTGAATGCCGTAACAGTTCATAGCAAGGATGATTCTTATTCGTAAGATTTTGTTTGTGTTTTCTTGCCTACCATCTGGTGTTCACTCACTACATAATGTAAATGTTAACACTGATATTCCTTCCTGTTCATCTAGATGATGGAGTTAAAATAAGATGCATTTCAAGAGTAGCCACTATAATTAAGTAACAATTTACATTCTAACTTACCAAAATTGTCCTAAACATTTCCATCTTTGATGATTTTGTTGTATAATAAGCTGGATAATATGTTTCATTCTGTAAAATAGACAAAATATGGATATCGTGGGTCAATTGAAGCTAGACCATCATAGAAAACCTGGAAGCACTGGACGGCCGTTTCATCCTATTATGGGACTCCTCAGCAGTGCGCATCCACGATCCTGCACTCGCGAGATTCGAACCCAGGACCTACCAGTCTCGAACCGGAGCCCTTAACTAAATTCTCAACAAAACCCCCTCTGACCAAAAAATGGATAGTTATTAAGAATTAGGGAGGCACTGTTCCATCCTACTATTAGAACTCAACAGTCCGTATTCACGAAATCACCGGGAATCGAACTCAGGATCTTCGATTTCGTAACTAGAACTTAATTACTAAACAACCAAGCCGGCATTTAATAGTATACATATCGAACTTTAATCAATTAACAATATTTTGGGATCATCTTTAGTTGCCTTCAGTGGTTGACTGTCTCATACTATACATCAATGAGCTGAATTGGTCATATCATCTTAATAGAATTCCTGGAATTACATCTCGAAACTTAACTACAATCAGTCGATGGTGTAAACGAATATAAATAATAAACGTTTAGTTCAATCACCAAGAATAACATCATGTTATACCTTGAATAAACGTTAACATTTCGTAATTCCTTAACTCCGCCTGTAGCTCCTCTGGGGGTTACTGCCGGTCCCAGGCCCGGGTAAAGGATGAGGGTTGGGCATGGGGTTAGCGACCCCATCCCGTAGAAAATCAACTCGCTAAAAAAACGCTAACCAGAAAAAATCATTCAAACCATTTAAACTCTGCCCTGGGAGTAGAAGGAATAATTATGACGTCTCATAATGAAAGCCGAGTTCCTTCGGAAGTCATGAGGCCGATGCACCTTCTTACAACCAGAGCGACAATTTTTATAGGTACACGGAATGTCCGAACAACGTGGGAGACGGAAAGAGTCTTCCAAAGTGCCGCAGAAATGAGAAAATACAACCTGGAGGTGCTTGGAATCAGCGAAACACATTGGACGCAGGTTGGACAACAACGACTAGCTTCAGGAGAAATTCTATTATACTCCGGTCATGAAGAAGAAAATGTCCCACATACACAAGGAGTTGCATTGATGCTGTCCAGAAAAGCACAAAACGCACTTATTGGATTGGAATCTCATGGACCAAGGATCATCAAAGCCTCCTTCAAAACAAAGAGAGAGGGCATTACAATGAACGTCATCCAATGCTATGCGCCTACCAACGACTACGATGAAGACGCTAAAGACCAATTCTACGACAGGTTGCAGTCGATCTTCGAGAAGTGCCCAACCAATGACCTGACCATTCTGATGGGAGATTTCAATGCCAAGGTTGGAATGGACAACACTGGATACGAAGACGTCATGGGACAACATGGACTGGGAGAAAGGAACGAAAATGGTGAGAGATTTGCAAACCTATGTGCCTTCAATAAACTGGTCATCGGTGGCACCATATTCCCACACAAAAATATACACAAAGCCACTTGAATTTCACCGGATCACACTACACAGAATCAAATCGACCATATCTGCATCAACAAAAAGTTCAGGAGGACGATGGAGGATGTGAGAACCAGAAGAGGAGCTGATATAGCATCCGATCATCATTTGCTGGTCGCCAAGATGAAACTAAAACTCAAGAAGCACTGGACAACGGCATGGACAACATCACAAAAGTTTAATACGGCCTTTCTTCGAGATGCTGACAAACTCAACAAATTCAACATAACCCTCAGCAACAGGTTCGAGGCCTTCCATGATCTACTCAATGGAGAGGGGACTACCATGGAGAGCAACTGGAAAGGTATCAAGGAGGCGATCGTTTCAACATGTCAAGAGGTTCTGGGCCAAAAGAAGCACCATCACAAGGAATGGATCACTGTTGGTACACTGGATAAAATTGAAGAAAGGAGGAACAAGAAGGCAGCAATCAATATCAGCCGAACAAGAGCGGAAAAAGCCAAGGCACAAGCCGAATACACAGAGGCAAACAAGCAAGTGAAGAGGATCATCAGAACCGACAAACGTAAATATGTGGAAGATTTAGCAATGACGGCGGAAAAGGCTGCAAGAGAGGGAAATATGAGACAACTGTATGATACAACAAAGAAACTTGCTGGAAATTACCGTAAGCCAGAAAGACCAGTGAAAAGCAAGGAAGGTAAAGTAATCACCGACATTGAAGAACAACGAAACAGGTGGGTAGAACACTTCAAAGAACTCTTGAATCGACCAGCTCCACTGAACCCACCCAAAATCGAAGCAGCACCCACGGACCTCCCAATCGATGTTGGCCCACCAACAATTGAAGAGATCAGCATGGCCATTGGACAAATCAAGAGCGGCAAAGCAGCGGGACCAGACAACATCCCGGCAGAGGCACTGAAAGCAAATGTAGCAGCAACTACCAAGATACTCCACATCCTCTTCAGTAAGATTTGGGATGAAGAACAAGTACCAATAGACTGGAAAAAAGGACTTCTGATCAAGATACCAAAGAAAGGCGATCTGAGCAAGTGCGACAACTACAGGGGCATCGCTCTCCTCTCAATACCAGGAAAAGTCTTCAACAGAGTATTGTTAAACAGGATGAAGGATTCGGTGGACGCCCAACTTCGAGATCAACAAGCTGGATTTCGTAAGGATAGATCGTGCACAGATCAAATCGCACTCTGTGGATCATTGTGGAACAATCGATCGAATGGAATTCATCACTCTACATCAACTTCATCGACTACGAGAAGGCATTTGATAGCGTGGACAGGACGACACCATGGAGGCTTCTTCGACACTACGGCGTGCCTGAGAAGATAGTAAATATCATACGGAACTCCTATGATGGACTAAACTGCCAAATCGTTCACGGAGGACAACTCACCGACTCATTCGAGGTAAAGACTGGTGTTAGGCAAGGTTGCTTACTCTCACCCTTTCTCTTTCTCCTGGTCATCGACTGGATCATGAAGACGTCAACATCTGGAGGAAAGCACGGAATACAGTGGACAGGCAGGATGCAGCTTGACGATTTAGACTTCGCGGATGATCTGGCTCTTCTAACACAAACGCAACAACAAATGCAGGAGAAAACGACCAGTGTAGCAGCAGCCTCAGCAGCAGTAGGTCTCAATATAAACAAAGGGAAAAGCAAGACTCTCCGATACAATACAATATGCACCAATCAAATTACACTTGATGGAGAAGCTTTGGAAGATGTGGAAACCTCTACATATCTGGGCAGCATCATTGATGAACACGATGGATCAGATGCAGATGTGAGGGCGCGGATCGGCAAAGCAAGAGCAGCATACCTACAACTGAAAAACATCTGGAGCTCAAAACAATTGTCAACCAACACCAAGGTTAGAATTTTCATTACAAATGTGAAGACAGTTCTACTGTACGGGGCGGAGACGTGGAGAACTACGAAAGCCATCATCCAGAAGATACAAGTGTTTACCAATAGTTGTCTACGCAAGATACTTCGGATCAGATGGCCAAACACTATCAGCAACAAGTTACTGTGGGAGACAACAAACCAGATTCCAGTGGAAGAAGAAATCAGGAAGAAGCTCTGGAAGTGGATTGGGCACACCTTGAGGAAATCACCCAACTGCGTCACAAGACAAGCCCTCACATGGAATCCTGAAGGTCAAAGGAGAAGAGGAAGACCAAAAAACACATTACGCCGAGAAATGGAAACAAATATGATAAGAAAGAACAACAATTGGATAGAACTAGGAAGGAAGACTCAGGACAGAGTGGGTTGGAGAATGCTGGTCTGCGGCCTATGCTCCATTGGGAGTAACAGGCGTAAGTAAGTAAGTAAGTTTCGTAATTCCCTGTAAGAATATCTTCCTAATTCATAATGATGATTATTGAGGTATAGAATGACAGGGCATAATTCAAAAAATGTTCCTCTCTATTTCGATATCATAAAAGAGTAATTAAGTAAGTAAGTATTTATGAAAAGCATCGATTGAACATGGATAACTTATCAAGGTTTATATCAGAAGTGGCTTTGTGAATATTATGGTAATTTTAATAGTTGAGATCATGAGTCATTTGAAGCTGGATCACCATGGAAAAACTGGAAGCACTGGACGGCCGTTTTGTCTTATTGTGGAACTCCTCAGCAGTGCGCATTCACGATCCCGCCCCGTGAGATTCGAACGAAAGACTCATCTGTCCCGCGCGCGAGCGCTTAACTTCTAGACCATTGAACCGGCATTCAACAGTGTTAATGTCTAGTGAGAAGCAGTGACCAATAGAGTTCAACGAGATCTGTTGTAAGATAGTAACTCACTGAAGACATTGGTGGATGTGTCGCTCAATTTCGTGGATCGGTTGAAGTTACACGTTAACACCGTTGAGTTCCGGCCGGCTTAGTGGTCTAAAGATTAAGCACTCGCACTCGAGACTGATAGCTTCTGGGTTCGAGTCTCGTGAGGCGGGATCGTTGATGCGCACTGTTGAGGAGTACCACAAGAAGACGAAACGACCGTTCAATGCTTCCAGGTTTTCCATGGTGATCCAGCTTCAATTGATTCATGACCTTAACTATTAAAATTACTATAATATCTACAACCCCCCCTCTTCTGATATTACTTTGATATGCCTAAATTATCAAGTTTGATTTATTCCTCCTTCTATACTTTGTATAATAACTAAACAAAACCAAATAGAATAAAAGTTAATTCCTTAGGGGGTTTTAGTTCAGAAAAAAGAGGATGATTAACTTGTCAGATATTATACTACACCTTAATTCTACACTTAATGTACCTCTATCATTACCATGTTGTATTTAAAAATGGAAAGCAATCATAATGGACTAATGTCAATATTCATGTCATACTTTAAAATCATAGTGTTTTTTTCATAGTTGAGATCATGAGTCAATTGAAGCTACATCACCATGGAAGCACTGGACGACCATTTCGTCCTATTGTGGGACTCCTCGGTAGTGCATATCCACGATCCCGCCTCACGAGATTCAAACCCATGACCTACAAGTCTCGCGTCAGAGCACTTAACATCTAGACCACTGAACTTGCCGGCATCCAACGGTATTAATGTCTAACTTCAACCAATCCATGAAGTTGAGCAACTATGAAAAATACTGAAATCTCCACAATTCCCCTTCTGATCATAATATTTACCGAGAATATTCTAGATGACAGATTATTTAATTGAAACAATATTGATAGATAAACTGATGAACACTGTTTCAGTAATACACAATGTCAAATAATAAGACAACATTGCCGGATACTAGACCAAGTCAAACAGGAGAGTTGGGCATGAGGTCAATAATATCATCCCGTAGAAAACAACATTGCTAAAAAGACGTTAACCAGAATAAACAAATGAAACCATTTAAACTCTGTCCTCTGAGTGGAAGGATTTTCGTTCAGAAGAATGCAATGGACAGTTTGGATGTAACTAGATGATTTGAAATTTGCAGATGACCGAGCTCTTCTATGCCATATACACCAACAAATGAAGACAGCCAGTGTATCAGCAATCTTTGCATCAGTAGGCCTCAATATAAACATGTGATACAACATGATTCTCGAATACAACACAGAGAAAACTAACCCAATCACACTTCATGGAGAAGTTCTGGAATAGGTGAAGACTTTCACGTACCTGAGTAACATCATCGATAAACAAGGAAGATTTGATGCGAACGTAAAGGCGAGGGTTAACAAACTAACAGCAGCATTCCTACAGTCAAACAACATATGGAACTCAAACCAACTCTCAACCAATATCCAACTCACAATCTTCAATACGAAAGCCAACACAGTTAATTCTACTGTATGGAGCTGAATATTGGAAAACTACCACAACCATCATCAAAATGGTTCAAGTATTTATATACAATTATCTACTCAAGATACTCCATATCCTTTGGTTGGATACCATCAGCGATAGCCTACTGTGGGAGAGGACAAACCAGCTTTGATCTGAAGAGGAAATTAGGGAAAGGCGCTGGAAGTGGATAGGACATATATTACGGAAATCACCAAACTGCATCATGAGGCAACAGTTAGTATGGAATCCTAGAGTATAACGGAAAATGAGTAAACCAAGCAACATATTGCATTGGAAATGGGAGGCAGACCTCAAAAGGATGAGAAGAGCAGCTAGATACAACTAGGAAGGAATACGTGGGACAGATTTGGATGGAGAATGCTGGTGAGCGCCTTATGCTCCTAAAGGAGGGATAACAGACGTGAGCAAGTAAATATACCACACAGGTCGATTAGAAAGCTAGTATCTCAAGTTTCCAATACCTAAAACTAATGGGAACAGATATTTAATACTTTCTTATTCTTTATACATTGTCAAATTATTTTTCTTCATATTATGTGAAACAAGAGTATTTTCAAGTTATGAGTAATTTTCATCACAAGATTGACATCAGCTGGAGCACTATAGTCAATCAGCAAACACTGAATAGACAGTTTTTTTCTTACCAGTATGAGGCTTGTCAACCGTACGCAACCATAACCACGCCGAGGTTTGAACCCAAGATATTTAGTTACGGACTCAAGTCCTTAGCCCTTAAACCACTAAATTAACGTTTAGGTGTTCACATGTTTACATTTATAATGTTCTCTGCCCCCAAATGTCCTGGTACGGCAGAAAGTGGGGAGAGTCAGCTCTCCCTCTCTAAACGCTCTCACATAGCTACACGTATATAGCATCTGTTAGGGAAGTCTTACTCTCACTGTCTTCTCGCACCACGGGTGTTGTTTACGAAATCGAGAGGACGAAAAACGAATGTCTGGTGCTTTAACCGGGTTGGTGGACACGGAAAGTCCACCAAAGGGAGTTGCAAAACCCTGATTTCAAACCGATGGTGCACATGGGCTTCAGTATCCTGAGGGAACAAATGGCGTATGAATCAGTCGTCGGTCACCAGCTGCCATGTGGTTGCATCTCCCCACGATGCTCCACTGCCTTATGGATAAGACCTTTAGGTCTAAGGTTCGGGGTGTGGTCCCCTAAGAAAACCACCTGCTTCAGTTTGGGCACCTGGACAGTATCACAACCATCACACAAATCTCATTTGATTTGTGTGTCGCACATGTATACGGTTCCCCTTTGTACAAATATTTGTGTTCAAATAAATAGGTGACGTCCCTGACTAATGTCAGATCATGAAGAACAACTGCCAATCAATTCAACAAATCACCACAACATCCTCGGAATAAATATCCTTTGAATAATTCAACATCTGATTCTTGTTATTTTCTTACTTTGACGATGGTGAAGTTTGTATTAATTCATTGAATCCAATTGATATTGGCTTTCCTTGTAAACTTTGTATGAAAGAAATTGAAGATAATTCATTGATAGAAGATCCATTAATCAGTACTGGTTTACCTAATCCATTTAATAAATAGATTATTCGAGCTAAGATGTCAGATGAGATAGATTCCTAAATAAGAAAAACAAAAGAAGATTATCATTAGTATGGGAGGGTTTATGTTACAAACAGACCTTAAATAGACAATCAATGGTAACCAGAAACGATTGTATGGCTATATCTTTCCAGTATGAGATTTCTTAATCAGATAATGAACCCAGGACTTGTTAGGTTTCGTATCCGGTGCTTACCCTTCAGACTACTGACCTTGTATTGTATGGTTTACATTTCCAACTTCAACCAAATTCATGATGTTTCTCAATCATTCTCTAATGTCTTGCTTACTTACTTACTTACGCTTTTTACCTCCAGTTGAGCATAGGCCGCCGACCAGCATTCTCCAACCCACTCTGTCCTGAGTCTTCCTTCCTAGTTCTATCCAATTGTTGTTCTTTCTTATCATATTTGTTTCCATTTCTCGGCGTAATTTTTTCTTTGGTTTTCCTCTTCTCCTTTGGCCTTCAGGATTCCATGTGAGGGCTTGTCTTGTGACGCAGTTGGGTGACTTCCTAAATGTGTGTCCCATCCACTTCCAGAGCTTCTTCCTGATTTCTTCTTCCACTGGAATCTGGTTTGTTCTCTCCCACAGTAGGTTGTTGGTGATAGTGTCTAGCCAACTGATTCGAAGTATTTTGCGTAGACAACTATTGGTAAACACTTGTATCTTCTGGATGATGGCTTTCGTAGTTCTCCAAGTTTTCACCCCATACAGTGGAACTGCCTTGTCATTTGTATCGAAAATTCTGACTTTCGTGTAGGTTGACAGTTGTTTTGAGTTCCAGATGTTCCTGTTGTTGCTTTTGCGATCCATGCCTTCACATCTGCATCAGATCCACCGTGTTCATCAATGATGCTCCACCTGGAACCCGTCTAGGGGCTACTACCGTTCCCAAACCCAGATAAAAGAGGAGGGCTGAGCATGGGGTTAGCGACCTCATCCCGTAGAAAACTAACTCGCCAAGAAAATAATTCAAACTAGACTACAATCAGGAAACTTTAATTCACTTAATAACCCTGACTGTTTTTATATGAGTGTAAGTGTGTACCCGCTACCTTCAATGCGTGTCATTTTTACTTCACTCACTGATATTTGCTCATGTGCTTATAGCTTTCTGACTTACGCCATTAGTTAATAAAACTGTGGTTGTCACTTCTCTTTGCCTTCTGATTTTATATACACCGTTAAGATTTGTACTTATAACGGCTAATCGAGGTGAATAATTAAGGAAGCACGACCACTAAAAACTTAGAGATATGTTTATTTTCAGAAGGGGTTTTGCAGAGATTTCAGTATTTTCATAGTTGAAAGCGTAAGTCAATTAAAGCTAGACCATCAAGGAAAATCTGGAAGCACTGGACGGCCGTTTCGCCATATCGTGGGACTCCTCAGCAATGCATATCCATGATTCCGCCTCACGAGATTCAAACCCAGGACTTACAAATCTCGCGCGTGAGCGCCTAACCTATAGACCACTGAGCCGGCATTCAATGGTGTTAATGTCTAACTTCAACCAATCCACGAAGTTGAGCAGCCATTCACCAATTGTCTTCAGTGACTTGATATCTCTACAACAGATTTGTCTGAACTCCACTGGTCACTGCTTCTCGCTAAAACTCCATGAAATATCTCTTGAAGTCATTCACTAGTGAGCATAAGATTATTATAATCAGAAGGGGGGAGAGTTAGTGGAGATTTCAACACTTTCATAGTTAAAATCATGATTCAATTAAAGCTAGATCACCATCAATAGGATGAAACGGCCCTCCAATGCTTCCAGGTTTTCTTTGGTGATCTAGATTCAATTAAACAATTAAAACTTACATTTTTCATTTGATAATTAGATCCATTCCATAAATAAATAAGATCTGGTTCATATTCATAAATGATTGGTAAAAATATATAATATAATATAAATAATAAATCGATCATCATTGTATCATGATCATCATCATCATTCATGATTTGTGATTGTAATTTCTGATCTGTACAATCGATTGTTTCATTATTGATATTGTCAGTTGGAAGAGGAATCTTAAGCCAAACTATATTATGTAGCTTATTTTGATGATTAGATTCAGGATCATAAGTATGATATAGATCTTTAGCATATAATTGATTTGGTTCGGTTAATAATTGATTTGCCAATTTACCATAATAAATTGAACAATAAACTAAACTGTAAGTTAAAAAAATTATTAAAAAAAAAATTGGTAAGTTAGATCGATTTTAAAACATTTGAAATCTTTCCACTTAGCTACTGAGTCTTCATAGCCACTTGCTTATGAAATAGGTTGAAGTTTGAATTCACTTAGTATTGTTTGTTTGAATCTTCCCATTGATGTGTTAGAACTGCAATTGGTCAGTCTTTTATTGACATATGTGCATCCTGTACGGACTATGTAGATATTCTCTAAAGTCACAAGCTTTATAAGCGAAGATGGATATTGGCTAGCAGTGGAATCCAGGACACGGGTTTATTCTTATTTGGGACTCGTCAGCTGGATGTACCTGCACCGCAGAGTTGATGATCACTAGCAGACTCAAATCTAGTACAGCTCTCTTCAAACATCATCATGTTATCCATTTAGCTACTGAGTTCTGATATCCACTTGATGGTGAAATGGGGCAACTATTAGGAATTTTTTAGTGTAGGATACTAGACAAGAATTTCTGTCTATTTTTGTAACATTTCAACAGTTCTTAACCTTAATCCCACTAGTAAACGAATCGAAGATCGAGGAGAGAAATTCATCAATGTGAACTAGTAAGGAGTTTTTGATGTAGGTTTGTTCTCTGAGCTGGATGGACTTCTACCCGAAGTTTGTGCTAATGATGTCGTTCAGAAGGATGATGAAAGCTCCACGACCAAACCATCCACCTCAGAGAACAAACTTACATCAAAATCAAGCACCTGAGCTACAAATCCTCTCAACTAGTAAGCAGTCTCTAACTTGAATGAGTTAACTGTCTTTATATGTTTTTTTTGGCATTACATTTCCCCCCCCCCTATTATTAATCAATAATCAATAAAGATATAATATGATTGAACTTACCAATCTATCTAGGATCAAAATTGGAAATGTGCGAGGGTATTAAGAAGATCAATAATCAAAGAATAATGGCAAAGTTATAATTTTCATAGTTGAAACCATGGGTCAGTTGAATCTAGATCACCATGGAAGACCTGGAAGCACTGGAGAGTAGTTACGCTCTATTATGGGTCTCCTCAGCAGTGCGCATTCCCGATCTCGCACTCGCGAGATTCAAACCCAAGGCCTACTAGACTCGAGCCGAAGTCCTTAACCAACAGACCACTGATCCGGCAGGCATCCAACGGTGTTATAATTATCAATATCATTCATTAAAGCAAAACAGATAAGCATATAAACTTTTAATAATCACTCGTTAACCAACGTTGCATTTAAATATAGTTTTAAAGATTAGCAAATATCAGAATTGAAACTGAATTATGAATACCTCGATATTTAAGAGGAAAGTATGGGATACAATAGAAAGCTCTCAATCAGTTAGAAGATTTGGATTCAACAGATGATCTAGCGCTTCCAGATCATACACATCAACAAATTCAAATGAAGATAACTAGTATAGCAACAGTCTATGCATCAATAGACCTCAACATACACTAAGGAAAAACCAACATCCTCAAATGCAACACAGTGGACACCCAATCAATCACACTTGATAAACAAACTCTAGAGGATGTGGAATCTTTCATTCACCTGAACAGTAACATCATCAATAAATAAGGAGGATGCGATGAAGATGTAAAGGTGAGGATTGACAAAGAAAGGACACCATTTCCACAATCGAACAACATATGGAACTCAAAACAAACCTCAATCAACATCAAACTCACAATATTCAATACGAACATCAACACAGTTAATTATTCTATATGGAGATGAATCTTGGAGAACTAACACAATCATCATCAAAATGGTACAATTATTTATAAACAATTATCTACTCAAGATATCCAATGTTCGTTGACTGAATACCATCAGAATGAGACTATTGTAGAAGAGAAGAGATCAGCTTGCAGTTGAAGAATAAATTAGGAAGAGAAATAGGAAGTGGATAGGACATACTTCGAGGAAATCACAAGAAAATTGCATTACGAAGCAAGCGCTTAACTGGAATCGTGGAAAGAAACGGAAAAGAAGAAGACTGAAGAACACATTGAGTGTAGCATTGGAATTAGACATGAAAGTGATGCATAGAAAGTGGAAATAATTGGAAAGGATTTCTTAGGACATAGTTGGATGGAGAGTGTTGGTGAACTGTGTATGCTCCTTGAGGATGAGTAACAGGTGTTAGTAAGTAAGTACCAGAATTATCATTATGAATATGTAGTCATATAATAATAAAAATTAATTAAGAAAATCCATTGGATATTTTGTAGTTCAAGGAAGTTTGAATAAAACGCTCTAGTTGAAAGGATTGTCCAGGACAGGGTTGAATAAAGAATACTACTGTGCGGCTCATGCTTCTCCACGAGGGGTAACAGGCCGAAGTAAGTAAGTAAGTAAGTAAATAAGTATGTATGTAAGTAATTGAGTGAGTAAGTAAGTAAGTAGGTAAAGTAAGTAAGTAAGTAAGTAAGTATGTAGTTAAGTAAATAAGTAAGTAAGTAAGTTAATAAGTAAGTGAGTGAGTAAGTAAGTAAGTAAGTAAGTAAGTAAGTAAGTAAGTATGTAAGTAAGTAAGTATGTAGTTAAGTAAGTAAGTAAGTGAGTAAGTAAGTGAGTAAGTAAGTATGTAGTTAAGTAAGTAAGTAAGTAAGTAAGTAAGTGAGTAAGTGAGTAAGTAAGTAAGTGAGTAAGTAAGTATGTAATTAAGTAAGTTAGTAAGTAAGTATGTAAGTAAGTAAGTAAGTAAGTATGTAATTAAGTAAGTTAGTAAGTAAGTAAGTTAGTAAGTAAGTAAGTAAGGAAGGAAGGAAGGAAGACTACATCATTAATCTTTATTCATTCAAATTGTATATTCAATTATGTAATTGTTTATAAAGGAAAAACAAAACATGATTATTCAATCTAATTTAATGTTTACATAAATTGTTTACAATTTTTAGGATTAGTCAATGTTAACAACTTAATTAGATTAATTATTATTATGATGATGATTGTTACCATGGTGATTAGAGAGTGCGCTTTAATTAGATTTGAATATATTTAAACAAAACATTCATTTTATTCAATTAAAATATACAAAATTTTAAATGATTTAAAATGTTAATTTCCCGCCCCCTCCCCCCAAAAAAATTTGAATATTGAACAAAAGTGAAATAGAATTTTGATTTTTTTTTTAAAAAAGAAAGTTGATTCATTATGAAAAACTCAGAAGTACTGGATGATTATTTCGTCTTAGTATGGAACTACTGAACAGTGTGCAGACACGATCCCGCTCACGGGATTCGAACCCAAGTACTTTAGTCTGACGTGCGAACTGTTAACCTCTAGACTACTCAGCTGACCGGCATCCAACGGTGTTAATGTCTAACTTCAACCAATCCATGAAATTGAGCAACCATCCATCATTGTCTTCAGTGAGTTACTATCTCACAATAGACCAAATTGAACTCCACTAGTCATGGCTTCTCACTAGAACTTCATGAAATACTTTTTGAAGTCAGTCACTAGTGAGCATAAGACGATTATCATCAGAGAGGGGTTTTGTATATATTGTGGTGACTTAATGGTTGAAGTCATGTGCCAATTAAAGCAAGAAAACCATGAAAAACCTGGAAGTACTGGATGATTATTTCATCCTAGAATGGGGCTACTCAGTAGTGCGAATCCATGATCCCGCTCACGGAATTCGAACCCAGAATACTCTTCATCCAACTATGTCCCAAGAAATCCTTTCCAATTATTTCCACTTTCTATGCATCACTTTCATGTCTAATTCCAATGCTACACTCAATGTGTTCTTCAGTCTTCCGATTTTCCGTTTTTTTCCACGATTCCAGTTAAGCGCTTGCTTCGTAATGCAATTTTCTTGTGATTTCCTCGAAGTATGTCCTATCCACTTCCTATTTCTCTTCCTAATTTATTCTTCAACTGCAAGCTGATCTCTTCTCTTCTACAATAGTCTCATTCTGATGGTATTCAGTCAACGAACATTGGATATCTTGAGTAGATAATTGTTTATAAATAATTGTACCATTTTGATGATGATTGTGTTAGTTCTCCAAGATTCATCTCCATATAGTATAATTAACTGTGTTGATGTTCGTATTGAATATTGTGAGTTTGATGTTGATTGAGGTTTGTTTTGAGTTCCATATGTTGTTCGATTGTGGAAATGGTGTCCTTTCTTTGTCAATCCTCACCTTTACATCTTCATCGCATCCTCCTTATTTATTGATGATGTTACTGTTAAGGTGAATGAAAGATTCCACATCCTCTAGAGTTTGTTTATCAAGTGTGATTGATTTGGTGTTCACTGTGTTGCATTTGAGGATGTTGGTTTTTCCTTAGTGTATGTTGTGGTCTATTGATGCACAGACTGTTGCTATACTAGTTATCTTCATGTGTATTTGTTGATGTGTATGATCTGGAAGCGCTAGATCATCTGTTGAATCCAAATCTTCTAATTGATTGAGAGCTTTCTATTGTATCCCATACTTTCCTCTTAAATATCGAGGTATTCATAATCCAGTTGACTATCAAATAATCTTAAGATGACCTTATATAACCATCTTGCTTTTAATGTTACTTAAACGATTAAATAGCTTCCAAACGCAGTGATTTATGGATTATACTTGAAATTGTATATTACTGAAATAATGTAAACAAAGATGGATAGCGGCTAGCAGTATAATCCAGTACGCGTTACGTCCTATTTGGGACTGAAATAATGTTCATCAATATTGTTTCAGTTAAATAATCTGTCATTTAGAATATTCTCAACAAACATTATCATTAGAAGGGGAATTGTGGAGATTTCAGTATTTTTCATAGTTACTCAACTTCATGGATTGGTTGAAGTTAGACAATAATACCGTTGGATGCCGGCAAGTTCAGTGGTCTAGATGTTAAGTGCTCTGACGTGAAACTGGTAGGTCCTGTTTCCAAATCTCATTAGGCGGGATCGTGGATATGCACTACCGAGGAGTCCCATAATAGAACGAAATGGCCGTCCAGTGCTTCCATG